CAATGACTGTCTCGAGATCAAAGTGCTTATCAAGAAAACGTTCTCGATAGTCTTCATTCTTGCAGAGATTTCTCCATGCTAGAGATCCTAGTCTAATTAGGCTATCGAATTCAGACTTAATTGGCATTTCATCTCTGTTGGATTGCAACCAATTGGCAATGACAGCAACGAGGACTGTGCATGCGCTCTCCCCAGCAGCACGTTCACTTCTTTGGTCAATTGAAGCAAAAAACACCTGCGCTCTAAGCTTCATGAGTCCATCACGACTGATAATTTCTTTCATCTCCCAGCTGCCAACAGCAAAGTTGTCATCCCCAAATTCGGAGTCTGATGTTCGAGTAGTTGTGGAACCATCTGACTTGTACCACTGAAAGGGAAAAAGAAAAACTTAAAAAATTGATGATAGGTATTTGAACCAATTAATGAACCAAATGAAATGCTCAGTCAAGAGTATCAAAAGGTTAGACATGTACCCCAAAACTTGACTCATCGGAGGAACCAAGCTGCCTTCGATCAAAATCAATGTCATCACCGCCTTCTTCTCTATAATCTTTTCTAAGAAGAGGCTCCCCTTTGGGTTTAGTAGATCTGAAGCTCAATTGTCTCTTCTTCCAAGATAAAATTCTGCGTTTTGAACCTTCCTGTGAAGATTGATCAAGTATTGCTGCATCTGAATTCTCGACATGGAAGCGTAAATCATTTCTGTGGCTGCTATAGTAAATCCAACTCTCATCCTTACAATTCATACTGGAGTGCAGTGATCCTCCAAACCAGTTTGCATGAGCCAATGTTTTGTAACTGATTGACTGACCACTAGAACCTTCACTACTCTCTTCTGATTCTCCCTCAGCATCATCGAGTGAATCTGTATCAAATGGATAATTATACTCGGGATCCTCACCTCCGTCAAAGCTCCTTCTACCACTGACTTCTTTGTGATGGTGCACAGTCGTCTCATTCTTTGCTCCTTGGTATGATACACAGCTTGTAAACAACTTGACTTTTCTTAACCCTTCTTTACTTTCTTCTGCTGCAAAAGCTCTTGGAGAACAAGGAGACAACAGAACAGGTAGTACCAATCTACGCGTTGGCTTTGGAGATTCTTGATCAGTTAACCTGAGCGATAGCTGCAGCACCATTGCATTTTTACTCAGATAAAAGAAGGAATCATATAGCAATTAGCATCAAAACTAATAAAGGAATCATGTTGCTAGGAGAAAATTAAGAATTAAGAAGCATATGAGCAAAAGCATGTTAAATGTATACTTACAAGAAGAATTGGACAAGCCTTGATGTTGCTACCAGGAACCACCAGAGGAACTTTAACTTCTTTCTCTTCAGTTGAGGAAGCAAATACTGCAAGGTTCAAAGATGCAGTTCCAACAATGGAGGTTTTGTTCCTTGGATCATGGTTCAAACTCTAGTCATTATAAACAAAAACATCATTTCATAAGTACTTTTTATATACATTGTAGCACTACTTGTCCAAAAAGCATTCACTAAACTAAGAGAGTACTTGTGATTACTCAAAATAAAAAAATACTTGAAAGCAATGTAGTACTTTATGCTACTTCTTTTATTACTCATTTAGATGAAACACTGAATATAAAACTAACAGTTTTTTTAAAATATTAATAAAATATATTTACTTATCATAAATATTTTATTATTATATTATCTTAATTTTAAGAGACACTGAGAATGTAATTAAGTAAATTTATTAAATAAAAAAAATCTAAAATTTAAAATTAGCAGCTTATTGTCTACTTTCTTTTGTTACTTCTATCTTGTTTTTGTGCTACCAAACTAAAATCTCATAGCTTAAAGCTGTCTGTAATCACCTAGTAATTCCAAACACTCTAAACTGCCATTAAAATGAGTATTAACGTTATAGAACATTATTGATTTATGTTGTATGAACATCTTTCAACATTTTTATAGCAGATATTATTAGATCCCAATTCCTTTTTAACTGCATTAAAAGATTTGCAGAAAATTCCAAAAGTATATATGTTTTTTATTGCTTTTAATTATTTAAAGAAAGCTTCAGGAAACAAATTATTCTTTTTGTCAGCTTTTCTTATTGAGTTTCTTCCCTCTGGCATATTTTCTTTCTGTAGCACAAAACTGTATCTTTCTACCAAAAAAAAAAAAAGAGTTTTTGAAAAAAAGGACAAAACCATTGGATAGCGTTGATGAATCCACACAAGTGCATCTTCTGTTTCAACAGAAAGTTTCAACTATGAAATCTTCATCATCAGTATTTTGGGAGAGAAAATCTTTTAACTGGAAAAATCCATTCAGAAATAATCAATGGAATAAAATAATTGAAACAGAAGATGCAATACCCAATGATGATTTCAAAAGTTAAACAGAGCAACATAAGATAACAACATAACAAAAATTAATCTGGATATATCAACATAAGTAATAATAAAAACAGAGAGAGAGAGAGAGAGAGAGAGAGAGAGAGAGAGAGAGAGAGAGAGAGAAGAAGAATCAGAGGCGAAGAGCACGAAAACTCACATTAAAAACTGTAAAAACAACCTCCCATGGCAAAAACACGCCGTCTTTATAAGAAGAGAAAGAACATAGGGTTGAAAACTCCTCGTTCCACTCGACGATTCCATCGCCCGAGCACTCACCTTCCTCTGTTATATTCCTCCTGATCGAGCGTTTCAACGAACTTAACCCCACACTCTTTTGACCCGTCCAGTTAATCCGAACCACAAACCTTCTCCTCACCTCTTTCTCCCCGCCAGATTCGCCCGAATTCAGACCTTCAACTCGATTGACAACAATACCCACCTCCATTTTTCTTGAGATTAACAGTGGTTGCCATGGTCGCCACTTCATCATTCTCACCACCAGGGACTAAGACACAGAAACTTATCTCAACATTATCCCAAAATCAACACACGCAAGAAAGAAAAGCCAATCCGCTGAACTGGGTAAGGTTTGATTTCATGATTTGGTATCAGGATTATTTGGGTAAGAACAGATTCTTAGAGGAAATGGGCATTGAACATATATGGTAAGTGTATAAGAAGTACCAAAAGAAGAAAAAAAAAACAAATGAATTTGACTTTGTAGAAAATGGAAAAAAGAGAAGGAAAAGGAAATGGGTATGGTGCTGTTTGGATCTTGGAGAATGATGATGAGATTTAGAGTAAACAAAATTAAATTGAATAGATATCTTTTGCCCTTTTTGGATTTTTGAAATTTGAAGTGTCGTTTTGTTTGTTTAGCAAATAGTGGAATGTGCCGTTCGTTGTTTACGACATACAGATTTAAAAGGAGCAGAAGGAAAAGGAAAAGCCGGCCGGATTTAAAATAAATAACCGGACGAACAAATGTCTCTCTGAGCCGAGCCGAGTCGAGCCGAGCTGGCTTTTTGAAAGATTAATAATTCGAAGAACTAACTTTTCTATACAGTTGAGCTGAGCCGAGCCGATCCGAGCTGTGTTTAAATGTCATCATTCAATTCTAAAGTGCTTGCTTCCTTCTCCTCTGTTTACTTCTTCTACTGGTCAACCCTGTATCTGTTCCTCATTTATCTCCGCAACACACTGGTTAAACTGAAATTATCTTATATAGATTATTAATTTTTTTATATTTTTATGTATTTAATTTTAAAATTTTACATGTATTTATATTTATATTTATATTTAAAACTTAATAGAAATATAGGAAATAAATTATTTTTACTAAAAATTTAAATTTAAATTACATCAAACAAGGGATAATTCACTACATTCTAAATCTCCTGCTATGCTTGTAAACTGACTCAATTATTATTTTCTAGATAATTGTTAATTATAATGAAATTCTCTGCATTTTTAAATTAATATTAAATTGAATTTTGAACTGACTAATATCAATGTTTCATTAAAGTTGTGTTTCCAACAAAATTTCAAATTTTTTCGAAATTCATTTATAATTTTAATGATTGGATTGAATTTTCCAAATTCCAAATTCATGGAATAAGCATGAAATAAAATATATAGTATAAATAAAAATAAAAATACCATTTTAATTCTAAATCAATTTTATATTTAATTAAAATTAAATATTTTTTACCTTTTATTATTTGACATATAGGAATATAAATCAAAACTAATTTTTATATATTAAATAACTAAAAAATTTTAAATTAAATATATAAATTTAAAAGTAATGGGTATAATGTACATTAATTTTTTTTTATTTTGTATAAAAATTTTAAAACTTGTAAAATTATAAATAATTTGCACCTAAATCGACGTATAGATCATGCATTAATTTAATTTATTCCAAACCAAAAAGCTTTGAGATCGTATATATAATAATAATAATAATAAGAAAGAAAAAGATGACGCAAGGGTGTCTCAAAGTCAAAAGTAATGGCAAGCGATTCATGCTTATGCATTTGGTTTTGACAATTATGCGTTGACTTCAAACCGTATATTTTTGTATATTCAATTTATATTGTTTACTAGAGTTGTAAGTATTGCCTACATACTACACAGAGAAAGTTGTGCTAATTTTTTTTGTTCTATTTTTCTCTTTCTCCTTTTTTTTTTTTTTTGTAAATTTTCTTCAATTTTCCATTTCCTTTTAATTATTTAATTATTTATTTTTTAATTCAATTTCTTTTATCTATATAGTTCTTTAGTTTTATATATTTATGTTGAAATCTTAAAATTTACTACTAGAAAATTTCACGATTTTCTTCTGTTAAAATGATTAAAAGTTATTAAAGACCAAAAACTAAAAGTGTACCAGGTACTTTCTATTAAAAAGGTAGAGTTTATTTTGGAGAATTGTATAAGAGCCATACCCAGTCTGTCAAAATAGTGCTGCAGATCAACACCATAAGGTAAAATCTGAACAAATGAAGTGTATTTACATTATATTTAAGCTTCAGGGTGTTCAGAAAATGAAATAGAGGATAGCATGCATGCTACGAAGAAAATGAAACATAAAACAAAAAGTTCAGCGAGTGGCCTAAATATTTGGGACATAAATCAATGCTAACCTGATTGTACGTGTAGGTTGGATGCCATACTGGTTGCACTGGACCAGGCAAAAGTTGTATGTTTCTACATAATCTCGTTGGATTATGGAACAACAGATATTCACAATGGGTAGCAAGATACCTGAATGAAGCTACACGATACATAATTCACATCAGATTCAACAACGGCTCAAATCTTGCAACTCTAGGTTTTTTAAAGCTAAGAAGTCTTAGCATCTAGGTCAACATCAAGAGAATTGCAGGTTTCAGCTACAAAATCTCTCATCCTTTGGTCGTGGCTCCTTATTAACTCCTCCACTTTGCTAAGATACCAAGAGTCTACTGGCAAGCTTCCCTCTTCATCCGAGCAGCTTAATAATGGAAACTAATATTTCCTTAGGCTTGGACGGTTCTGATATCAAAACCTTCAAGGATCCAACTCATCTACTCCACAGCAATACTAGCTAGAAGAAAGAGAGGAAGAGAGAGAAGGAGAAGAATAGGAAAAAGAAGTAAACAAATAAGTAAAAAGAATTTGAGAGAGAGAATATTATAGATTTCTGAGTAAAACAATCAATACTCATACTATTCCTTTCTTGACTAATATTTCAAATATAGTAGCTATCGTTGCCTCACTGAAATCTAGGATAATAAAGTATGCTGACTCAGCTTCTAATGGTAATATAAAGCTAGCAATAATCTGGCACAACCATCGATGACTAGGAAATGACATTCAATCTACCAAATCTTAACTTAATTAAAGGAAAAGGAACTAACAGTAGCAATTAGGACGTTTAAGAGGAAATTTGTTAACTGTCTGATCCCTTTAGCCAGTTCTTGCGCTAGTTTGTTATGCTTCAGATGTTACTTGGCGCACTACTTGTACTTAACCCTCGCATAAGAATTACCTTTTTCTTTTGAGAATTCGCTAAGAACAAAAGATGCATATGCAGCAAATAACTTATTTTAAGCTGAATACAGTATGGAAAGTGTTTGTTTATGGAGTTCAAGACATGATTTGATCTATCATTATGACCAAGTAAACTACATACTGCCAAGGACTTAGGACTATGTGTCCAATATGAGGAATTTGTGTATGACTACAAAAATTAGGATATGTAACGATCTCTAAGTAAACCACAAACCATTAAGAAAAGCAAATAATTGCACAGCAAGTGCAAGGAAATGAATTTACATTGCAAAACGTAGATAATAGATAAAAAGGGGCATATGACAAAGAGAAGTTATCAACTTTCAAAATTTCATGTGAACCATACAAAAGCTACCAACTATCAATATGTTAAACTATCAATATGTTATGTGAACCATAGAAACATGTCGCATTTGCAAATACATGGGGCAATAAATTGCATGTGCTTCAATTGCCTTCCAAAGCTGCATTGAACATAACCTACACTAACCACCAAGCTCAATAACTTGGCAACTTATAACCACCCAACAATGTATCTTTTGTAAAACAATCTCACCGCATATCATTTTTTTTTTTTTTGAGATAAATCTCTCTGCATATCATGAATTTGATGTCTTCTCATTAACAAATGTACCCACTGATTTGAACCAACGTAAAAGATTCCTGTGATCCTTTACATAAAGCCAAGCCTGAAGGAAAGGAAACAAACTCTCATTCACACCTCGCACTTCGATGTAGCTGTGAAATGCATCTCTCATCCCTTCATCGATGTCTCTATCAAATTAAAGCAACAAATCTGTTTCAATTATTCTGTAACAAATAGTAAAATATACATACAATACATATATATATATATCTGCATCAAGTCAATCTTCACTAGCATCCATTAGAAAATAATTGAAACCATCTCTTATTTTTAAAGTAAATGATTGTCTCAAGCCCGATAGTCCTTGAGAATGTCCTGAAATGTCTATTTTCTAACTATTAAGATGAAATAACATAAATGCATTTGATTTCATAATTTTCTCCTTTTTTACGAAATAACTGAACAATGGCTGTCATGTGGAAAGTACAAATCTTAACCCATACCAAGAAATTAAATGAGAATTCACATCTCAGCTTCAAAGCAATGAAACGATGAAATGATTGACCCAATGCAAGGGCTGTTTCTATATGTGAACTTTTTCTATCACAAAAAAAAATAAAGACAACATGGATGTAAATCTCAACAGACAGGAAACTAAGTTGGCATTTGTTACAAACCAGGCCTACGTGGTTTAGAGACATATACTTGCGTATGTATGAGCACGTGTGTGTATGTGTACACATATCAAAGAGCTTGAAAACACTCCCAAGCATGAAAATATCAGTGAAAAAAGTTATCAAAAAATTTCATAACCAAAATTGCACTTACTGGAACATAGGACCATTATATTTCGAGGGTTCAACAAGAAACTCAGACATCTCAAGCTTTGGCCTCATAGAAACAGAGTGAATTCCCAGGGCATCCGGATACAACCCACAAAGAAAGTGCAATGAGTTATCTTGGCCAGGTTTTGAGACACTGACATGAAGAAATAACTGATTGATCCCATCATCATCTTCCTCGTTCCCACCACCAGAAACAACGTGAGCCAACCGCATCACATAGATGCTGATTTCCTCATTACCATAGGTTCGCTTGAGAACTGGGCCGTTGGAGTCAAGTGCACCTTTCACTATTGTAAATGGTGAAGGAGGGCTCACTTTCTGCAATAAGTTATCCATCCATTACATATCTTGTAGAAATACTCTTATTTACTGAACTAAAACTCCACGCCACGAACACAAAAAATTACATGCAGCTTCCTTGTCCGTAATAGCATAAGAGCTTGTTTGTAAGTTTTATTTT